CATTTCCTTTGCCCATTTTTTAACCAGATTATTTGTCTTTTTGTTGTAGAGGTGTTGGATTTTCCTGTAGATTTTAGAGATTAGACCTTTGTAAGATTTGTAATAGCCAAAATTTTTTTCCCAGTCTGTAGGTTCTCTTTTTACTCTTTTGGTGAAGTCTTTTGATGAGCATAAGTGTTTAATTTTTAGAAGATCACAGTTATCTAGCTTATCTTCTGGAGTTTGTATATTATTGGTTATGGTTTGTATCCTGTTAATGCTGTATATGAGAGTCTCTAGCATTGATCCTATTTTTTCTTCTATGATCTTTATAGTTTTTGGTTTTAAATTTAGGTCTTTGATCCATTTTGAATTAGTTTTTGTGTAAGGTGTGAGGTGTGGGTCCTGTTTCATTTTTTTGCAGATGGACATCCAATTTTGCCAGCACCATTTGTTGAAAAGACTGTCTTTTCCCCATTTGATGGACTTTGGGCCCTTGTCAAAGATCAGGTGACCCATAGGTGGATAGATTTAGTTCTGTGTTCTCCATTCTGTTCCATTGGTCAATGTATCTGTCGTTGTACCAGTACCAGGCTGTTTTGACTACTGTAGCTGTATAGTAGGTTCTGAGGTCAGGTAGTGCGAGTCCTCCTACTTTATTCTTCTTCTTCAATAATGCTTTAGTTATCCGAGGCCTCTTCCCCTTCCATATAAAGTTAATGATTAGTTTTTCCATCTCTTTAAAGAATGTTGTTGGTAATTAGATTGGGATTTTATTGTATTTGTAGACTACTTTGGGTAGAGTTGTCATTTTCACAATATTGAGTCTACCTATCCATGAACATGGTATGTTTTTCCGTTTATGTAGATCTCTTTTGGTTTCTTGCAGTAGTGTTTTATAGTTTTCTTTATATAGGTCTTTTACATCCCTGGTTAGATTTATTCCTAAGTATTTTATATTTTTAGGGGCTATTATAAATGGTATTGTTATCCTAATTTCCTTTTCATCGTCCTCTTTATTGGAATCCAACTGATTTTTGTATGTTTATCTTGTATCCTACTACTCTGCTGAATCTTTCTAGTAGTTCCAGTAGTTTTCTAGTGGAGTCTTTTGAGTTTTCTATGTATAGTATCATATCGTCTGCAAACAGGACCAGTTTTACTTCTTCATTACCAATTTGGACGCCCTTTGTTTCCTTTTCTTGCCTTATTGCTCTAGCTAGAACTTCCAGCACAGTGTTAAATAGGAGTGGTGATAAAGGGCAAACTTGTCTTGTTCCTGTTCTCAAGGGGAATGTTTTCAGCCTCTCTCCATTAAGAATGATGTTGGTGTACAAGGAAAGGTCATGGAGGCCCCATGGACACATCCAAATTCCCCGAGGGACTGAGTTGCTGGACGGAGGGCTCTGGGG